CAACAAATTTATTTTGTGTACATTATTATAATCACTACTGAGTACAGTAATAATCAACAATTCAGAAACGCAGCATGCCGAGATTTTTGTGTTCGTTTTTATTTCAAACTTCGTTTATTTAGAATATATTTTCGTTACCAATAAAATAAAAATCTCTCAGTCAATCAGAAACCCGGATTCATGCCTTCGAGGAAGGTCCCGTTTGAACGCTCACATCGTTTTTTTTTTCGTTTGGGGAAAAACTAAAAACTGGTTCGCAATTTTCGAATAAGAAATGAGTCGGCATTTTTAGTGGAATCGAAAATTTGGAGGTAAATAAAACACCGAAAACCCGGCAAATAAATAGGCGATCGAATTTTTAGAGGGGTCGAAATTTTGGAGTTTTCACGGTACTAATTATTCCATTTCAATGAAACTTAGTATAAAGATGCTCTAGGACAATGTACAAACCTAATTAGTTTGGGGTAAAAATCTGTTCATATTAATTCCCTAATAAGCATAATAATTCATAATTTTTTGGTTCTAATCACATTTCAATTAAACTTGGAGACATAGATTTTCTGTTACATTGCGCAGACCTCATTAGTTTTACACTCAAATCTGGTCATATTAATTTTCTGATTTGCATAATTAGTTTTCAGCTAAGTAATTTCGAATTATATTTAATGTGTCTCCAATACTCTCAGCACATGGGAGTTCTTCTAAGCTTTCTTTGATCTGAACTTCTACCGTTATCTCTCTGCGTGTGAGGTCGTCCAGTCGCCGTTTACCTTTGAAAATAACCAAAGGGCGGATCTTTTGGCCGTCAGCGGTAACTGTTAACACAGCGGTGAAACCTCTTTTTTCTGAATTCGTTGTCTTGATGTGGACGGTCTTGATGCCTTCATGCTCGAGAGTTCTGTTTCCAGGCATATCGAACCGTAACGGTGTCTCGTCCATGTTATATACATCACTGAGTGGGTAGTTATGCTGTTGACGCAATTGGATAACGAATCGATGAAACTGGGCGATTTTTTCCTCGTAATCGGGTGGTAATTTTTGACCAATGGAAGTGCGCACGCGAGTTGAAAGTGTGTGACGTTTCTTGAACGAGTGAAGCCAGCCGTCAGATGCCTTGAATGTGGTTTCGGTGGCGATTCGTCTTGCTTGCATCTGTAGTTGTCGACCAGAGATCGCATTTCCATTTTTCCGATGTCCATCAAACCACTGCATGAGGTTGTCGTCCAGCGTGGTACTTCTCACTTTACGTCCTCCACCGTCTAATCGCTTAGCACTGCGTTTACCCATGTACATTTGCTCCTTCGATCGGATCCATTGACGTACTTGCTTTTCGTTGATACCGAAATGTTCGGCCGTTTTTCTGTTGTTTTTCGTCTCCATAGAGATAGCCACAACTTTCAATTTGAAAGCAGTGTCATATGCAGCACGTCGTTGTTTAGGCATGATTAAATACCGTAAAAACCCTCAAATAAGAGCCACTTTGTAACACTTTCATTTCTGGGTGGTGCTTATTTGAGGTAACATGTTGACAACTTTGTAGCCAGTGGCTCTTAAACCAGGGTCATCAAACTTGTTCATTGTGAAATAGGGAAGGGGATAGGCAAACACACACACAACCAAAATAGACAAGTAATTATTAATGATGTATCATTGCAATTAATTTATTCTGTAAAAATACTGTTATGGGAATAACAAATGTCAAATAAATACGACGATTCGACGTTTCATCGATAATGTGTAGCAATGCCTGAAGTCGGATTTGGTAGCACTTTCAGTGTCTGACCCTACACTCGAATCACTTGTACCTCCGTTGTACAATTGTTTACCAAGTTTGGTACGGCAAACTTTTTTCTTGAAAACTGGGAATAACTTGGGTGGCTGTGGCTGGCGTTGTGGTTGATTTGGTGACGATATAAAATAGTTTCGGATAGAATTGATCTGACCAGCAGCGACAGGAGAAGACATACTTGCAAAGCAAGCATGGAACGAATGAAGAAAATGATGCCCAATCACTTGTATTTATAGCAAAAACAATAAATAAAAACACGTTTTTCTATAGATTTTTACAGCTTGGGTACTTGGGCATTGTTTTAATTGCGCTAGACGTCTGACAGTACAGCTTTGGTTTATATTTCCTGTTTCATAATCAAGCCAGCTTATATGATATTCACGTACTTCACAGTCCCCGCAA